TATATATATCATCAACATACTAATTAGAATATTAATGATAGTAAATAACATTTACTAATTAGTATTGAAAACATATGTTTATTGATTTGTACTTTGAAATTTGTATTAGTACATGTTTATGTCCCAAAATACATATCCACAATTTTATAACTGTGTAATCATTACACTTTTTAATTAACTAAACGACAATTCTATCATTCATAATTGAAAGATTAATGAATTCTTATCTTATAATAGACATTACTTTTTGAAAATGGACACTTACTTTGGGACAAACTAAAATTGAAACCGGGACATTTATTTTGGGACAGAGGGAGTATTTGTTTTGTTATTTGTAGACATCATTTGTCTTATAATAATGAATTATTATCTATATTAATGACCAGTTAATTTCTTTTCCTATTATTTATAGACTAAGTTTCTATTTACCACATTTTTTATACATATAATTAGTTACCGTGTGTGGTTTAGACGTACACTTATTTATTTTTTTAATAAAAATCGACATATGTATCATCCTCTTTTTAAAAAAATATTCACCATCAATCAAACAAACAATGTATAAATTATCCACACTCCCGTCGTTATTATTACTAATTTTATTTAATTTTATAACTTTATTTCTAAACAAATATATATATATATATATATATATATATATATCTCTCTCTCTATATATATATGTGTGTGTGTGTGTATATATATGTGCGTGTGTGTATATGTATATTAAAATTTCACTAATTAGATGTTATTAACTTTTTCGGATTATTTGAATACTATTTGTTGATGATTCTGTTAGCAACTAACATATATTTATATAGACAATCTTCAGATCATTAACCAAAGTACTCATGCTACCGCACAACGTACGGTTCCCACACTAGTACTTCTAAAAAACTAATCCAACTAGCATTTTAGTAAGTTGGTTTATCTCCACCCAAACGTATAATCAAAAAAATAAACTAACTTTATTTTTTCTAAAATAAAGTATTAAAAGTCAAAATCTCTAAAAAAATTATATTCAATTCCAACAACTACTCTATTTTAGCAATTCTAACATTGACTATATTCAATATATTTAATAAAATATTATTATTATCTCCTAAAATTTTATTATAAATACGTCTTATTTTTGACACTTATTTATTTTTTAATAAAAATTTTACAATTCTCTTCGTTTTTCTCTATTTTAATATACAAGATGACGTGCAAGAAATTGTTAAAATCCGCTTGTTTTCTCTTTATTTTAGCACAAGCGTTGAACATGGTCTGAGCGGTTTAGGTCGGCCAAACAATGTACTAGTGCAATTATAATACAATTAATGCCCAACTAATAAGCTAGCTTAGGTATTAAAGTTGGGGATGTAAACACATCGAACATACATGAAACGGTAAACGAACGAAAATCTTTGTGTACGTGTTCGTTCGTTTAGAAATCAAATGTGTTCGTGTCCGTTTATGTTCGTTAACATGCTAAATGAACGAACATGTCTAAATGAATAAGCCTAAACGAAGATAAACAAACGAATACCACTACTTGTCATTCAATTAACTATTACACACCAATTATCCATAGTTTAAACATACACAAAACAATCACCATCATCATTTAAAGAAGAAAAAAACAAATCACCATCATCATTTGAACAAAAAAAAAAACAAAATAAATCATCATCGTCATTTGACAAAAATGAAAAGGTAAAAATTTCAAATAAGACAAAATGATGATAAAATTTAAATAAGTTAAAACTTAAATAAATTTTATTTGAATTGAAATTAAATAAATAAAAGATTATATATTAAATTTAATATATAATCGAACGTAAATGAACGAGCGTTCATGAACATAAATGAACGAACAAGACTTTTGTTCATGTTCGTTTAACTAAACGAACAAAAAATTAGTTCATATCCATTCATTTATTAAATAAACGAACATAAACGAACTTCCAGTCGAATTTGTTTCGGTTCATTTACATCCCTAATTAAATGTATCCAAGAAAAAAACACTTCAGACTTTAATGCATTTTCTTTTTGCAAAATTTTAAAGTTTTTTGTTTTATTTTAAAATAATAATGCAAGAAAAACTGTCAAAAATAAATGCTTTAGACTTTCTCGTTTAACTTTTCTTTTAATTAAAATATATTTTTCTGAGTTTTTATTTTTTAAGCAACCAGAAATATTTTCCCAATAACACGTGGCCAATTAAACATCACTTGATTAGAAAATTAATTTCGAAAAATATGCATTTTTTCAAAATATGATGACTATTTTCCATCATTTAAAACTATTATAAATTTAGAGGTTTCTTATAAATAAATATATTTTATTTATAAAATTTTATATTTATATTATATTATAAAATATTTGACAAAAACTCATAAAAATCATTTTTTTATACATGAAGTACTGTTTATTAATGCATATTGTTTTAGAATTCAAGATTACAAGTAAATTGTGCGTAGATACAACTTATTAAAGTTCTATCTTTGAATTCGTGTAACTAACTGCAAATACATAATCAAATACAGGATAAACATCTCATTTTAAATATAAATTTTTTTAAAATATAATTAGGATAATAATTGAGTTCTAACAGAATACTTAATGATTATCTTTATAAAGAATTATATTATTATGTACTAAATTAAACTATTTCGTTACGTTAAATTAAATTATAATAAAAATTTTGAATTAAAGAAACTATAAAAAATTAGAACTTTTAAATAGTTAATTTGATACTAATATTGATATATATTTTAAATTTTTTTATGATATTTTTAAATTATATCTTATTCAAAAATAAAAATATTATCGCTTTCTCAAAACCACATAAAACTGTATTATATTGACATAGATAAAAAATAAAATGAAACATTGAAATCAAGATGTGTCTTGATGCATTGTACGTGTACTTTCTAGTTACATGTAAATAACGATACACGATATTTTTTCTTATTAAATTTGAAATTAGTAATTCTCGTTTTTTTATTTCTTTAATTTATTTTTTATTTTTAGTTTAATAATATAATTTTTTATAAGGATAATAATTAAGTATTTTGTTATAATTCAATAATTATTCTAATCTTATTTTTTTTATCTGAAGTTAATTATACGAATTCAAACATGAAGTTTTAATAAATTATATTTACACACAATTTACTTGTACTCTTAAATTTTAAGTAATATATATCAATAAACAATACTTCATATATAAAAAATGGTTTTTAATAATTTTTGTCAAATGCCTCCCATTTAACTAAACTTTTTAACACTTGTTAAATAAAAAACAAAGTTCAAACGTTTTCTAAACTATGATGACCATCTTATAATTTTAAAAATAAAATAGGGGCGGATAGCTATAGGGGCCTTGGCTCTTGAGCTTTTCTTTTCGATAAAGTAAAGCATTTCTAGTTCATTAAGATTTTAAGTATAAATATTTTTTGGATCCTTCCATTATTATTTATTCAATCTATTTGTGTTCCTCCTGTAGTTTAGGGGGTGTTTGGGATTGCTTATTTAAAACAACTTATGCTTTTTTGTAAAAGTGTTTATTAACTTATGTGGTATCAAACTGGAGTTTTGTAAAAAGTGTTTGAATTAGCTTATAGCGGTACCAAACTGCAATAAGCTGATAAGTTGTTTTTTAGTGTTTGACAAATTTTGCTTATATTTGTAAAATGACCAAAAAGGACAGAGAGAAGATTGATGTTGTTATATGGAGAAGGGAGAAGATTGAGATCGATGTTATATGAAGGAAAAAAGATAGGTATAAAGGGTAATAAGGTTAAAATGGTAAACTGATAATAAACAGTTTTTCATAAGTCAGAACGGATTAACTTATCAAAAACTGTTTATTACCAGTTTGGCATCGGTATAAGCAGTTTTCTTTTTTCTTATCTAAACACTAGGTATTAGCTTATCACCGATACCAAACTGAAATAAGACAATAAATAAATAAAATAAGCAATCTCAAACACTCCCTTATTGTATAAATAAATTAGGGAAAAGTACAATAAAAACCAATGAACTTTCTTATTTGGAATGATTAAGTCCTTAAACTTTTTTTTGGAACAAATAAGTCCTTGAACATTCCAAAACATGTTAAATAAGTCCTT